AGTGCACCGAAGACACTAAGACTATCAGACGTAAACTTGCAGTTTACTTTTTAATAAGTGAAAACGCGCAATATGTACCATTTTTTTCGTTAAAATTTTTCTAAGTGTTTGGAACCAATTGCAATTGTAATTGCAATTCTAATTGTTTTGCAACAAGTGGCCCGGTTTAAGCTGAAAATATGCAGTGTTTTGTGTACAGTGTAGTACAGTCATAGCGGTACTACTCAAGGATTCAACGCTCCATATGTTTCTCAACTGCGGCCAATTGCAAACTTTTGCTAAAACCCCAACACAATCTACTCCAATTACTTCGTTCTAAAAAACGTGGAAAGATTGATCTAAAAGGGAAAGGAGGGGCGAAACAGGATTCTAACAAACTTTGTTCGACCACTCTATGGCTAAGGCCCAAGGCTAAGACTCCCAGCTAGCTGTCTTAAAGCTACCAGGAACGGCTATTTTTCCAATTAAGATTAAGCACTCCATTTAGTTCACTAGCTTTGACAATAGTGGTCCAGTTTTTTACCATAAGGCCTAAATCAAATTTGACATATATTTTCAAATCAAACATATGTTCGAACCATGTATCGTAAAACAAATTGAAAATAATACTTAATAATTTAAAACTGATGAATATATTCAAATTAAAGATAAGGCCACTTCAACCACCACTAGGGCCTAAGACTGGCACACTTATCCTAGTTTATTTCTTGATTTTTCAGAAAAAATACGACTTTTTTTTTTTTAAATGTAACCGTTAATATCCATCAACAGAATATTTCGTGCTGAAATCATAACATTCCTAAGTTGACTTACTAAAAGCACAGAGAAAGTAGATTACACGTAAAAAAAACTATTCGTACACGGTGAGAACTACCTACTTACCTACTTTTGACTAGTTTGTCTCCTTTCCTCCTTCTAATGTTGTCAAAAACGGAGGAGCAAAACTTTATGGCTTGTTTGTTTGGAACCCGTTATGCGAGGTAGGCGACGATTGTTCCGAACACCCCTCCGTTTTTGGCCCTTCATACAGCGATATTGTGAATTCAGATCGATAGCTCAAATTGATCTTGCTATTAAGTGGAGCTGCATACAAGACAAGATCTTTGAAGGGATGGTGGCTACCTTACATACATACATACATAGGCGACGATTGTTCCGAACATTTTTTTCGTATTTGACAGCCACCTCCCCCCCCCCCCTTGCTGACTAAACGGAAAACAAAACATAGGTTTTGAACATTTTTCAAGATTACTAAGGCTGTGTTCCAATGGGGAATTTTCACTTATATTTGACAGATGTAAAAACTTCATATAAACCTGTTATTCCAGCAGACTTATTTCGGACCGATCAGGGATCAATCTTGACAAACACCTTCGAACCTTTCGAACACTATAATTTATTTTCGAAGCGTAAAGTTTAAGTGAAAACTCACCAAATGGAACACAACCTTAAAATCTGTGATTCTCGGTAGGAAAAGTGAAAATCGGTAGTTTTGAACCTTTCATCTGTGAATCGGTAGGCCTCTCAAAAATCGGTAGGACTACCGATAAATCGATAGGTCTGGCCACCCTGTTATCCATAAAAATATTGCAAATGCTCCATAAAACGTTCCATAATGAACCTTAAACTAACGAAATTAGGTATGATCCACAGTGACGGATTTAGGATTCGGGGGGCCGAGGTTGCTATCCTTAGGAGGGGGGACCCATATTATCTGCTTTCGAAGTTTGAATTTTAAATGCGGGATCGTACTTGAGTTGACGAAAATGAAATTTGAAAGAATATTTAATAAAGATATGAAATCTACATTTTTCCACAAACAAAAAATGAAACTACTGTGATCCAGGGGAAAGTTGATCACCGGGTTAAAATTGGAAGGTGATAAATATCAAGAGAAATCTTGATAGCATTTCATTATGAGGTTTGCTAGTTTCTCTTTACAAAAAAGTAAATTTGCCTACATTTTATTTTATTTTATTTTTATTTTTTATGCTTATTTGGTTATTGATCCGGTTAAAATTTTCGAAGATGGCCAAGAACGTGATTATCCGTTTCAAAAGAAATCAAACCATCTGTACAGAAGATGCCCTGCCAGAACTGCATCCCATCCCCAAGTAATGATGCTGTACTGACTTTTATTCGCCGCTGACTACGGTTTCGAAAACGAAGAGGAACCTTTATTGGAACCAAGATATTCCATTGTCCGTCGTATTCACGTCAAGAAATTGCAAGTTGCTGGACCTGATACTTGACAACCTTCACTCGGATCCAGCAATCGACTACAGCCGATTATTTTTTATCCCAAGCTGGAGGATCACTACATTTGGACACTTCAAACTGGTTCAACATAGGACGGGACTAGTTTATGTTGATCCCCATCAAGGGAACCGTCTTTGATTGGAACTACAATGCAACAATAGCACGGATGGTTCCTGTGGATTCATTTGGGTTAATTTGATGAGATCGGATCTGATTTTATCTATTTAATCTAAATTTACACGATTCTCTTAAATTTGACAAATTCTATTTTGTGTGTCTTTGAAATCATCATTGAAAGTCAAATGGATTGTCTGCACATTTTCAGCATGTGGTAGAACATTAATGTAAATCATGTATGTTAAAATATTATATTATATGCTGCGTTATGGGGCAGCCTAAGGGAATCCAAGGATTTGTTGACTGGACGAGGGTTCGTGGATTTTCCAGTCCCTTGTCACGTGATTGCAGATGGCCATGTGGTTGTTTTGTCTTCCAAATGTCGTCAATGAAGCTGATTCAACCTGCTGTAACAAACCATCAGGTAGAACTTTACAACCGGTAAAGTATCTGCACTAGACATTGGTAATCATTGCACTGATGGTGGGTTCCATAGTAATCAATATCAGTTTTCAAACTGATTGGTTTAAGAATGTAGGAAATGTCGAAATTGCTGTAGACATCTTCTACAAAATTTTATCAGAAATAATTTCAGAAGAAATACCTTTGCAGAAAAAGAGACGAAAAAGAAACACACAAAATCCAGTCTGGTAGGTATAAAGCAACATATGGACATATGCGATCAACTGAATTTAGCAATCAGGCATGCATTTGAAGAATATAATTCAAAAACTGAACTTGAAATAAAGTCATGTCCGAAAAACTTCGAATACGACCGTGAACTCTCAATTAGACCATTACTAGCCGAGATCTGAAAAATTATGAAACTTGATGTGTCACACGACAGTTTTTAGATCTAGCTTTGATCACTAACCCGAGGGCACCGCAGCATATCCGGGAAGGTCAATATGACTGTGGGGTTTCAATAAGGTCGGCCGAGACTTATTTTTTTTTCGCCGAGATTCCAACAGCCGAGCAGTTCTGCAATTTATTTTGCTGAGATTCAGTAAAACAATTGCCGAGACTCAGCTAACAAATAACATTTTGCTGCGATATCAGCTAACAAACAGATATTTTGCAGAGGTAATCGGTTGTTAGAGATTTTACCGAGCTAGATTAAGTGTGTATGATGTGTCGCACGACCAGTTTTAGTTCTTGTTGAAAATTAACAACTTCCCGGAGGGTACTGCCCATGTGAACATGTCATCTCAATAAATCCATTACCCGCCGAGTTAAGAAAAACCATGAGGTTTGATATGTCGCACGATGGGTTTTGGTTCTAGTTGAGAATTTGCCACTTCCCCGGGGGCACCGTAACATGCTTGGGAGGGCTAGTATTACCACCGACAAACCGACATGAAGCTTAAGCTCAACTCTTGATCGAGAATCCATAACGGCGGATTCAAATGTGCAGCGATCCCATTTGTCAAAACCATAGAAATATGTTTGCCCGGAATAGATTAGACACGAACCAACTCATACATTTTGAATGCGTATTTGTGGCTAAGCTACACATTGATCAGAAATTTGATGGTACTTTGTATGGTCATTCATGTCGGTTTGTCGGTGGTGTTACCGTGGACTTTCAATAAGGCCATTACCGGCCAAAATTTGTCAAATCACGAAGTTTGATATGTCGCATGATAGATTTTGGTTCTTGTCGAGAATTGGCCACTTCCCCGGGAGCACCGGAACATTCCCGGGAGGGCGAGTGTGACCGTCGATTCTCAATAAGGCTATTACCAGCAAAGATTTTTAGTATCATGAAGTTTGATATGTCACACGATGGGTTTTGGTTTTTGTCGAGAATTGGCCACTTCCTCGTCTGTGGTTGAAATAACCTCTCCGCTTAATACACTAGAAACTAACTTGTTTAACACATCGAATCAAAGTGCAATACAATTAAAATAAAAAAAAAAACACAATTTTTAACAGTTTGTCGACTTGTGAGTTTTGATCAACACTATTACCATGGACCCAAAGGTCAGGACCAATAGCGTGGAAGGAATTTATCGAAAAATCATGGTTCTCGGTAATAGAATGGAAGTGCACGCAGTAGGTTTTTTAGATTTGTGGGCATCCTGTATCCCCATCAAATTTATCCATAAAATTCTGCTTATATATCCAGAACATCAGTCAAAACTTTTTTTCTCCAGACATCCTTATTCGATTTTTTGTCTATTTTTCAGTATATCCTGAATATCCCTGTTGATCCTTCTGTCTATTCCGAAAATTCTTTCGATTCCGCTCGCATGCCGTCACAGTGTTGCCATATCTTTTTTGAAGCAACATGCATCAGGATGAGTGTCGTTCCCCAAGGTTTTCCTTGAACGTCATTGATTGTCTCTGAAGATCTTTCCTGGAACTATCTTCCTGCGGACAATCGTCCAGTGGACAATCTTCCTCTGATCAATCTTCCTGCGGACCAGTGTTGAAAAGTTCGCGATATTTCACGAAGTTCACCAAGGGAAAAGTTCGCGAGTCATAGGGAACTTTGATGAACTTTTCCATCACTGCTGCGGACAATTCTCTTCCTCGAAATAATCTTCGTGCGGACAATCCTCTTTCGAACAATCCTTCTGCGGACAACCCTCTTTCGAACAATCTTCCTGTGGACAATCCTCCTACGGACAATCCTCTTCCGAACTATCTTCCTGCGGACAATCGTCCTGTGGACAATCTTCTTCTGAACAATCTTCCTGCGGACAATCCTCCTTCGAACAATCCTCTTCCTCCGGATAATGTTTCTCCTCGACTCGTCGGTAGCGGACAATATTCCTGCGGGGACAATTCTGCTGATAATCCTCCTTCGAACAATCCTCCTCCGCACAATCTTCCTGCGGACAATTCTCCTTCGTACAATCTTCTCCCGAACAATGTTCTTGCGGACAACCCTCTTCCGAACAATCCTTCGAACAACCTTCTCCCGAGCAAACTTCCTATGGACAATCCTCCTTTGAACAATCTTCCTGCGGACAATCCTTATTCGAACAATCTTCCTGGGTACAATCGTTCTTCGAACAATACTCCTGCGGACAATCCTCCTGGGGACAATCCAAATATATGATGTTCGAGGGCCCTGGAGCTAATGAACTATTAGATTAGATAATTAACTATTTTAACTAGTTCCGCTTTTTTTTTGTTAGCATCCATGCCTCTCACGCTAAAGTCACGAGTTCAAATCTCAAAATGGCGAAACAAAAAGAAACGTGCTAAGGGATATGACACACCTCAATCTGACTGCCACGGCAGCGGGTACCGCGCTTTTTTTGCTGGCGCTTTTGCTGGCAGTTGTGCTGTCTGTGTCACTTTTGACACCTGTTCTGGTACAAATTGCTGTCTTTTGCTCTAGTACCGGGTGCACCAGGTACACTAAAAAAACAGCTAGGTGAACCAAAAAAAAAATCGCGTGAAGGACCATTGACACCATTGACAAACATACAAAGCAGTTCCGTTGTACTCCTTTAATCGTTGTACTCCAAACTCCTTTAGTCTAGGTACAATTTGAGGTACTAGATTAAATAAACAACAGTGTACTTTGTATGTTTGTACAAGGATACACTGTCAAATGGTCAAATGATATTAACACCGGCGCACAATGGATAAGTTTTCAGGTTGTTTGACATTAGAATTACCATTCCCGTGGTTGATACTTCACGTTGTCAAATTGATTGACCTACACTCAGCGAAATAAACTGCACGCATGCTTTGACAATTACACTGCATAGAATCGCTTATCAGACCCATATGGAAAAAGTAGGCATTGTGAAAATGGCAGTCGAAGTTACGAAGTGCAATTTCCATGTACATATTTGAAAAATCATAGCGAATTTGTAATGAAGCTTGCATGTTTTGTTATATCAACGAAAAATATAGTAATTAAATAAGCAGAACAGTAACTTGACTTCTGGATGATGGAATTTCAGAATGGGACTGATATGCGATTACTTTGCCTGATGGATGCTTGATGATGATGCTTGTTTTCACAACAACAATTAACATTTCCAGTTCAATTTTTACACGAAGCTTAATAACTTTATCCAATTATTCAAAAATACACATCGTTTCTGGACTCCGGAATCGCGGGAAAGAAAAAAACTTCTAAGACAAAGTTGAAATTTGTTGTCAGATAGCGTAGACAGGTTTTGCGTGATCTGTCGTTTAAGTAGAAAGGAAGCTCGGCTTACTGATCATTAGCAAATAATCTGACATTTTCCTATTTCACTTCAGTTCGGCAATGCTAAAACATTAATACTGAATTTCAGCAAAAAGTTATTTTACTGATCCCATTTCAGCAAAATTTTTTGGCTTATAATTAAAAATCGAAATTTGGTGTGTAGACCAGTGACCAACGGCTTTTATGGCTTAGAAAATCCCGGCGCCGAGACAATCACGCTTACCACTACAACACCGGCGCCGCTGTCTCACTCAACAACTTAGTTCTGGAAAAGTTTGGTTAAACAGCAAAACGGGTTGTCCCATTACATAAGAAACAATGGTGCGATGCAAACTTAAAACGCGTTTTTCTCGGCTTGCTGATTTGTGCTATGGGACGGCCGGAAATTTGTTGAAAATCGATATGGGACTGATATGCGATTCTAGGCAATACAGCAGGGCGGGAATTGTTCACTTAGTATGAGACCCATAGTGTAAATTGTAAACGTTATAATGCTTAAGTGGACCTTACACAACTGCTATTATTGATAATAATTCTATTGTCAATACGTTCTATATTGACGTTTATACCGAAATATTGTCAATACCGATGTATTGGTATTAACAATATTTCTGTATTCACATCATCAATCCAATTTGCTTTAAAATATCAGACGCTGTTCATAATTTTGTTTTAGATTTTCCAGATTATTATGGAGCATCGGACATGGTTAGATAGTCAGATTTGAATGATTTTTTTAGGCATAAGCTTAAATGGACCCTTTTTTCCGTGTTGGGTATTTTCATCACTACGACCATTACTTTGATGTTTTGTGATATTCCCCGTTTTTATATTGCTTTATCATTTATGTCGTATCACTATTTTGTGAAGCGACCGACATAGACTGACCAAAAGCATTTTCCCAGCCAGTTATTACATTTCGAATGAAATGTACTACTTGGCTGGGACCTGCATTCCAAATATCAAAAGGTTCTGCGAGCCCCTTATTTAGAAAAAAATACGCCTTTTATTGAAGATTGCTGCACAAAAGATACTTGATTGTTCGTGAAAGTTCTAAAGAAGTTTCTTTCAATTTTAAGTTATTTATAGAAAATTTCCTTTTCCATGTGAACGGTACAATAGTGGTTTTAGAAGGGTTTAAAACCTTCTTTAGTGCACCACGACGAATCATAATTTAAAGCAGTTTGCATTCAATTTGAAATGACATTATTAATGGACCCTTACTGTTTATCATACAAGAAATTCAATGACATTTGTAAGTTTTTATTATTTGTATGTATCGTTTTTCCTATTCCTTTCAAAGCAGCAAAACTGACTAACTTATTCCATAGAGAAAAGACGTCAAATTTCCACCAGAAACTTGTGTAAAGATAAGTGTGGGGACGTCGCCGTTACGTGGCGCTAGCATCTCCTAATTTTCACTGTTAATTTTAAACTTTCGACCAATTTGGCGCTAGTATCGATAAATTATCTGTTGTAAATTGCCACTTGGCGCTACCAGCACTTAGTGTCTAGTGTAAGTTTTGCAACGCCAGCACCATCATGTTGTCAAAGAGGGTTCTTTAAACAAGTTTTTAGAGAAATTTTGTTCCAGCCTCAACGTCTGTTCTCTGTGTTTATTCCATATATAGGACAAGTTGGCCAGCGTCTATAGAATAATTACCATCTTCAATTGCCTCCAAATCAAAAATTTCATAACATGGGATGAATTCCGAATTTTTCAAAAACAACGATATTGATGATTAAATATTGTTTTGAAATAGCTTCTACGCTTATGAAATAACAATATTTAAAAATTGAATAAACCTTCACCACGGTTGCAACAGATTCAACCTGGCCTCGCCATGGTAGACTGATAATTTCATGCGGTTAATAAGCTTATGCATGCTTTTCACATTGAACATATGAATTTCCATCGAAGCAAACAACATACCACCGGCGTCATGTTTACAAAACCTAAAATTACCATTTAAGCGCTCAATTTTGAACCACCCACTATCCTGCTGGCAATCCCTCGGTTTGCAGGTAGGGGAGCTTTTCGCTACGTTTGCGATTTATTGTTTCATTTTTATACGGCTGCCTGACGGTTGCAATTTATTGTACTCCAGTAGACACCAATACCATCTGCCACCGCTGGCTGGCGCACCGTGCATTGGTTGTCCTGGCACACCCCACACCATTGCGCTTGAAGAAATGAAGCTTTATTTTGCTCGCTGCTGCACACATGGCTTCACACCCACATATAGAGATCATTACGGCAAATTGGATCTGGTGGGCCACCGTCGATCCTGAACCACCCCCGCACCCATATAACGATCGAGTGAGTCGGTGTATTCACATCGAGTTGACGCCAAACAATCCTACACGTTTGGATGTTGTTGGTGAAAATCCAGTTAGCCAATGGTTCGGGTATGTAGTTTACCGGCAGTTCCACATAATAACTGCGGGATCGAAATTAAATGATTTTCATTATTAGTTTTTACGGATGTTTGACTTTTCATACGTGGTTCACCGTGGCTACACGCTCCAAAGCCAAACAGCAAATACACCACCATTGCAACCGAATGGACAGGGTAGCCGAACTAAACTGTGTGCTTGGTAGAATTCCATTGTATTGCAAACTGGTAGCCCTGCTGCCAGAAAATGATAATGTGTATAGGTAGCAGCAGTTTATTTCATTAGTGACTTATCCCTTCTTAACTCCACCACCTCTTGCATTATGGAGCTGAATTCAAGCTGAACATTGCGTTAGGTCCTAAGTAACATTCATCGATTCTCTTCTTCGACTTTCTCTTTTGTCAATAACTTGGGTATAGAACCGTTTCTAGTCGTGTTTGTCATACTAGTAGCTAGGTAATAGCTTCTTTCATCGATCTGTGTGCCGCAAATTACTGGAAATGTCTTAACGACGAAGAGAATCGATCAATGTTACTTAGGACCTAATGCAATATTTAGCTTGAATTGTTCTCATTAGAACAATGAGCGACACAATGGAAACTATAAGCTTAATAAAGTGTGGAAGCTAATTCGTTTCGATCACCGTTCGATGATCCACCTGCCGCCTATTGATAAAGTGGGTGCAATAGAATTTTCCGCCTATTTTGTTAGGAATAAAACTGGAAGCAGTGAAAATGGCGACTAATTGAAGCGCGTTGACAAATTGTTATTAGCTTGCCTCCAGCGTTCATTTACGGATGATTGTGGTAAATCATCTACATTTGATTGTTATGCCGATTGTTGGAATGAATGTGAGTTTTTAAAAAGTGACAAATGATTGGCAGAAAATTGAAATATAGTCACTAATTATGCTAATCAGTTGTATTGTTTTAAGCTTCAGCAGTTTGTGGTAAATTGTCAGTTGTTTTATGATCATCGTTTTTTTTCCCTTTGTTTGTTATCCATCAGCCATGTGTGCCAATCACCGAGGGAAAGTGACTCCACCTAGCCCTAACTATCGGGTCCATCAACATAATGATAATTTAAATGATTGAATGCAGACCCTATAATATTTCTACACATTAGAAAAACCCACAACAACCTAAATTTTTAGAGAGGAAATGACGGATACTTTTTGAGTTTAGGTATTTACTCTTGAATGTCTCTTGAATTAATATACAAACTGTTAATTGTGGGGAACTTAATAAGTGGCGTTGCGAAGGGAATCAAACCGCTACTTAATCGAACGAGATTTCCAAATCGTCCAACTAACGAGAATACAATAGCGAATTTTCAAATAGCCATATCCACTTTTGTAAGCACACT